CATGTTGGGAATTCTGCCTTTGACGGTTGCAGCTCTTTAGCGAGCTTGATCATCCCGGACTCAGTGACACACATTGGGAATAGTGCCTTTAAGGATTGCAGTTCTTTGGTGGAGTTGACCATCCCGGACACACTCACCTACCCTTGGGATGAGGCCTTTCCAAATTGTCGAAGGGCTCAAAGAAGCCACCGTCGGCATTGGGGAGGGCCTGGGATTCAGTGAAGATCGAGTGGCTTTCTCTTGGCCAAAGGATGGCTGGTGATAAGGCCAGAGTCACACATGACTTGAAAGTTCCAATGATTCTTCAAGTCATATACTGAACCACTATCTTCAAGTATAGATAGAGTTTGGATGTAGAGTTTGTTCAATCTCTACTCAAATGAATCTTTCAATTCCTGCAATAACCACATCTATAAGTGGGTGAGTCTAGGAGCTGCACGTGGCGTTGGTGCGCAGCAGGGAATTGGGATGAAGAAAAGCACCGGCAGAGTGAATGCAAAACTACAGGGCTAAGAGTCAAAACATGGGGTTTCTTGAAGTCTGTAAGCTAAGTGTGCCGAAGTCATTAGCCAACCCAACATCCGTGTCATTCACGATTCCTATGCGGTTTTGTTGCTTTGTTGCGGGAGATGTTCATTTTGACTGCACGTTTTCTCGCAGAATTGGGAGGTGGCAGCAAGAATCGTGAGGCGGGATATTCTTCTTGGTGAGAAGGATGACATCCAGAATTATATAGTTTAGGGTTCCCAACCTCGTGTTGCATGATGGATTTTGCGAATACACCCAATCCCCTGTAGTTCCATGGTCTTCCCAAAACAGGTCAGAAGGGTGAGAAACCGGGCAACCCAAATGATGGTTTGACATGCGAAGAAGGGTGAAAGGATGGATGAATCCTTGTGAAGACACCTTCAGGGACCACCCAGGCTTTGAGGAATCCGCTTGAAGACAGCCAGGAGCCCTTAGTAGCATTCTTGTTCCTAGTAAGGCCAGGAGCCACCCGAAGCCTGAGGAATCCGCTCGAAGACCCGCACTGAGGCAATCTCTACTTGCAGGCCTCTGGATCCTTTCAAATCGCTTCTTATCCTCCCCAGGTGCCGCGGACCCGCGGGAGACCGCGACCGGAAGCACGGTCGTGGGAAGCGAGACGGAGACGAAGCCGGTCGGCACCCTGGAAGGGTTCTACCAAGGGTCTACCCATGGTTTTTTTCTATCAGAGTTGAGATGACATTTTCCTGATTCGACTGGACACCCATGTGTTTTTAACCTCAGGATTGCCTTTTCCACGATGAACCCTGCTGACCTGCGCTGACGGCCGGTAGCCATTTTCTTCCTTCAGATCGGACTCTTCGTCCATCTACCGCTCCGGAGCGTCGTCGACCGCGCTTCCGGTCTCTTGGGGCTCCCACCGTGGACTCCACACTTTACCCTGGCAGCTGCCATCCACGACCTCATTAACCTGTGAGATTGGTATGATGAGTATGATGACCTCCAAGTTCTCACCGATACCATTCTCGTTCTTTTTTCTCCTTTCGCTGTGCTTGGTCTTCGCTGCCGACGACCCGGAGGGAAGTGCGAAAGCCAAAGTGTTGATGCAAAAGGACCTCACGACGGCGGGAGCCGTGGCATGGAATGAACCAGAGAGGTTCACACCACCTCGGCTTTCAATTGAGCTGAAAGAATCTCAAGCACTTGAAGAGGAGGAAGAAGACTTCAAACACTTCAAGCATAAGGACTTTCAGGAGAAGAGCACTAAGAGCACCTCGAATGGCCCCAACGTCGCTGGCCCCCTTCTTCGTTCAGCTCTCGTAGTGACGTTGCTTCACTTGGCCTGGCTCTTCTGTAGAAAGAGTGAGGTGAAGGCAGAGTTGAAGGAGAAAGATGAGGCTACGGAGAATGATCTGGGGTCTGAGTTCTTGAAGCCTTTGAATTTAGCCACTGCTCCTTTCGAAGTTGATCGCTTTGGGTGCACTGCACTACATGTGGCAGCTGACAAGGCTGACGAGTCTGAAGTGCGGAAGCTGCTGGACACCATGAAGACACAAGACCAGACTTGGAACTCTCAGCTCACCTCAAATGATGCAAACTCCAGCCAATCCCCTTGCTTCAACGCTGAAGTTTCGCATGCTTCTCTAGTCTTGGACTTTGTGAATGCCCGTGATGCTTGGGATGAGACTGCTTTGCACATGGCAGCACGGCGTGGATCTCTTCCCTGCTGTCACCTCCTGCTGGAGGCCAGGGCCGATGTGAATGCCCCCAACGCCTCTGCCCAAACGCCGCTTCAGATCTGTGGCGAGGCAGCAGAAGACTTCTTTAAGAATGAGGAGCAGTTCGAATCCGAATCCCAACGGTTTGGGCCGCACTTTGAGGATTTCGAGGAGCTCTGCCATCACTTCTTAGACCTTGGCGCTACGCTGGGGCCGCTGGGTGAGGATCAGGCTACACAGCCGCGCCTCCCGCGCTTGTGTGCCATGGCCTTGGCAGTGCGGTGCACCTTGGGTGAAAGACAGGAGAGATGAGAAGCGAGCGGACATGATTCAGAATGATTCAGAATGATTCAGAATGACAGAGAATGCTGTTGTTTTCTTCTGAGAGTTGTGTGTAGAATGTGAAGAGCACTTGAGCAGAAGTCCGTGAGCATCCGTCCGCCTGAAGTCGGCCGCTGAAAAGACCGCCCAAGGCAGCTGATGCGACCCTCTGGGTTGCGCGGACTTAAAATTCTCCTGGACATTGAGTCATTTTTAAATAGAACCCCAAATACATAGAAGTTCGTAGATCCTCACTCAAAATGTATTGGTCACTTTTGCTACTTATGCTCTGTCAATTTGGGGAGTCATTTTTGGATGATGAGTTGATGTGGAGGTGAGACGATGAAAACATGTCTTCTGTTTTCGTCCAGGATGAACCGTGTCACGGTTCGTCCAGACATGTGTGATCACATAGGCATTTCAGCATCTAATGATGTTTTTCTCATTGCTTTTCAAAACTTGATTGAACCAAATACCCTTCGTGTCCATTCTTCGTTTTGCGGGAACCTTCGTATCCGTGTCCATCGTTCGTTGGTCCTCTCGTCACCAAGCCGAGTGAGGTTAGCAGTCCGTCCCAAGTACTTGAAGATCTGTGAAAGATCAAATCATGGTGCATGCAAATTGCTTCAGAAAGCAGGCGTTCTCCAGAAAGCACTTACCAGGCGTTCTCCGGGTGTGTGACAGGCCTTCTACAAGAAACACCTGGACGGTGGCTACGATGCGAAGCTGAACAACGGCCGCAAGGTCACAGCCATTTTTTATGCACCTCGGCCGAGGTCCAAGGTGAGGATTCGGTAGATGTGGGAAAGCATTTCATGAGTGGGTTGTGTATGTCTTATGTTTATAGTTCAACCTGGTGTGTTGGTCTCAGAAAAGGGAAAGAACACCCAACTGGCCTTGGTGGTTTTGGACAGGTCGCTGAGTGCTCCATTTGACGGAAAATCCTCAATATCTGGAATGCACTGAGGCCAACAAAGATTGGACACCTAGTGAGGGAGGTCAACTCCGCATCTACAAGAGACGGCCCAATCCATATCAACTGGAGAAGGGTGCCGAGGAGATGAAGGACGACCAGGCCAAAGATGTTTTGCAAAGTCGCAGAAGATTCATAGATGGCTTTGGATGAAGAGCCAAGACCAGATAGGCTCGGCTCGAGAGTCCAAGCATCCACACCCTAAATGACGGTTCATTGATGATTACTTTTTTGTATAGGCCCGCGGCCCTGGGAGTCAAAGACTACACAAAGAATTGTCTTTAGGGTGCCCGAAAGGGACTGTCCTTCACTTCACTATGGAAAAGTATAGTCGAACTGGACTTCCAGGGTAGGCAAACGATTGCAATTACTGCTTGCTGGACGCCGAAAGATTCGGACATTGCCTCATCAATTGGTGCCTCATCAGCCAAATGAATGTGAGTCACGGGTAGATGCTAAAGCGCAAGCTCGGCAGCAAATGTTTGACTCATATGTCTCCAACAGTTATGGATTTGCACAGGTGTTTTCTGAGAGCAGCGAGCTATTCTTGAACCGAAAACGGGGGGGGCCAAGGACCGCCAACCGCGCTTGGGCCGACGGTCAGGTGGAGGACGATGTGGACCCCACCGCGGGTCGCCTGGTGCTCTTTCGAAGCCGAGAGACTTGGCACCGGCGACCGTGGGGCGCGAGTGACGCAGTCGAACATGAGGCTGGATTTGGGCTGTAAAAGCATCGACTCATGGTGCGGAGTGACTGACTTTTAAGACATATCCTATCTTTCCTCCAGTGCCTGGGACTAGCTATTCTAGAATGGCTTGTGTAGAAGTCCAATCTTGTCACCTGGAAGAAACATTTGCTGTTGTTCATAAAAGAATGCTTCTCAAAACTTGTGAGACTTTGAGCAAGCCACGTCATAGCACTTCATAGCATCACAGCACAGCTGAGCAAACATCGCAGTTGTGCTTTTGAGGGAAGCTTTCAAGTTCGCTATCATGAAGGCTTCAAACATATCATATCTTCCACGGCAGACATCGTGGTTGCTGTCGGAATCGACCCCCCCCTGACTGGTCGCACGCTCCCTTCTTCCGGTCCACCAGAGTCCGGCGCGCTCCGCCTCGCCTTGCCTCGCCAGACTCTCGACTGAGGACATTCCTCACGAAGTGCTGGTGACCCAGCGGAAGCGCTTTGCCGTGTCCCTGTGGCTTCCAGGGCCCGCAGGGCCTGGCGACGACGCCGCCTGACGCACTGAACCTGGGCACATGACCCGCGGAGCAAAGACTCCTGAAAGCGCTGGCGGTCCGGAAGTCTCAGCATCAGGTTGAAGCATCAGGTGGCCAGGTCCCGGTGTTTTTTTTGCCATTCCTGAGGAAATCGAACAGGGAAGTTGGCTCCATCGCGACGTGACCACTCCATAAATGTTTGCGTGAACCTTTACTGCAGTTCTCCACTTCACCTGTGAGCCCATCACATTCCTGCCTGTCCTGTCACCCGAAAGTGCGCAGGCGAGATGCTCAAGGGCACCCGGGCGACCTACGGTTTAGAGCCGCGCTGTGTGGAGGCGGTTGGGTGTAGGAAACTGGTGGGAAAGCTGCAGCGTTTGGAGAGAGTCGAAACCCTTTTCATGTATGGAGTGTGTCCAACCCTCCAATGGCTATCCTCAACACCTCCCAACAAACAAGAAACGATTGACTTGGAACTGAATATGATCCCCCTCAAGAATCAATCTAGCTAGGGTTGAACAAGATTTGATTATGCAGTGCCTTCAGCAGCACCATGCGCTCCAACTGCCTTTTTGAAGCCAACTAGTTTTCCCAGACCTGAGTATCCCGGATGAAACCTGGATGAATGTCGCGAGACTTGGGAGGGCTCCTGATCTTACCACAGATCCATTGTCAAGATGTGTTGGAAGTGCTGAACCTCCGACAGACAGAGATCGAAGTAGACAGCTCCCAGTGCGTCAAACAGTTCCGATGCTCCCAACCCAATGGCCTGTCTTTGCTTCCTTTGTTCGCCCTAATCAACGACCAGAAGTTCTGCAAAGACGACCACCTCAACGGCTGGTCAGCGACCGCGAGGTCACCGCCGAGGTGACCAATCCGGAGAACAAGGTTCTGAAGAAGGCAAGTTACGCGAACGTTACGCGGAAGTGCTGGCAGGACTGGCCGGTTGGCAGGTTGGGAGACGACTGGACTGAAACACGCCCTATGTCCTCAATAAAATCATTTATTAACATGTATAGTAATATATATGACTGAAATCGTCGTGAAGGATATAGAAACTGAAGAAGCAAAGGAAGAAATCAAAAACGAAGTGGATGAGCAAGAGGGAACACAGAACGAAGAGGATAAAGTAAAAGCAGAAGAAGAACCAAAAGAAGAAGAGAAACCCAAAGAAGCCCAAGTGATGACCAAAACCGATATGAACAAGTTGAAGCAGAAGAACTATTACACCAGAAACCAACGCAATGAAACGGTCTTCTGCGCTGACTATAGTAAGTATATGCCCAAACACAACTATCGCTACAATCACCTATGCAAACCACTTCAAGAGAAGAAACAGCAAAAAGCGATGGTGAAGACCGCCATTGATGCGGAGCAGTTGAAAGCGGACGTTATGAAACAAAATAAAGGAATAACTACAGAACGAGCACAAGACCGTGAGGGAGAAGTATGCCACAAACAAGGAAGAGAAGAACACCCAAAAGAAGGAGAACATTAAAGGTTTAGCATCAAACATATTATAGACTAATATATATATATATATATGTTGATTGATAGACAGAAGATGGAACTGAATAAAAAGGACATCTACGAGAATGTCAGAAGAGACGTTATGAGGAAGCAGACCATATACAGTAGTGAAAAATTATCGGGAAGCACTCCGGTAGATACTAACCTGAAGAAGAAACAAGTATATACTTCCATAGACCACTACTACCACAATGACAACAACAGCGCCAGAGTGCCAGACCACAACTACCAGAAACACCTAAAGAATACTTTGGAATATCACAACCTTGAACACAACTATAAAGTCCTACGAACCAAACAGAGGATTAAGGAGGAGAACGGGATGATGTCAAACGAGATACAGAGATTGAGACAGATAAAGAAAAACCACAGACTGACCGACTACGGGGCAAACGTTGAGGCGATGAGGAACAGGATAAATGAGTATAAACAATGGTTGCGAGGTGGAGAGGATTAATAGTTTAATTTACATTTTCTATTTACTCTCACTCTGGAATGTCCATTTCTCATCAGTTGTTCTCTAAAGTAAGAGGGTGAGGGGTCAATGAGGAGGTTCATCCAAGGACCAGAGAGGCAGTACCCCGAAGTGTGTCCTTTCTTGATTTCCACCGGACCGCTCCGCAGAAGACCTCCAGCTCACCGGACCACACCACACCAGCTCACCGGACCGTGGCGGAGCCGCCAGGCGGGGGTCTTCGGCAAGGTGAACAACGTGGAAGAGGTGACCAGTGTCTTGGCCAACGCCATGGACGGTGCGCCTCTTGGAAAGCAAGATCGGAATTTGGGGACCAGAATCCGGGGATGAACACCACAAGCTGTATACTATTGAATGAACATGACAACACGTATTAAAACACCCCAAAGAAGGGAAGCTAGGGCCTTTTCTTGGCCTCTGCCAAGCGGTGGAGATTTCGGCAGGGTGGAATGGATCCAGGCATGTTCTTATGTTTTTGGTTTTGAGAAAGAAGGCAACAACAACACAGCGTCAAACGGGTGTCAAAACAACCTTTTTCAAGGTCCGACAACGGCCAGTTCACCTTGGTGGAAGAGATTCCGCCGGGCACCAACGACGTCCGGGGATCTCGGTTGACCTGCGGCTGCCCGGTTTTTTGCCGCCGCGAGGGGTGGGCCACTGGTGGACTTTGTGGTCCTGGTGTTCTTTTGCAAACTGCAGTGCTTCGGGGGGTAGGGGTGGGGGGTAGGGCTGGATTGAACACCTGCGCGGCTTGTTACCCTACGACCAACAACTGCTTCCTCCTGGACCAGAGGTAAGCATGGGTGGCACCCCTTGGTCGGGACCCGAACGTTGGGGTTCACATCGAAGGAGAACGGTTGGCGGCTGCGAACCACGGGGCTTTCTCACCTCTTCGAGCGCTGCGGCGGCCTCCGATCCCTCGACGAGCTCGTCGCTTCGTGGGGGTCGGTGGGGGTCGTCCGTTTGGGGGGGGGGCCGCGAAGACCGAGAGCGGAGCGCGTTCGGCGGGGGTCTTCGGGGACCGCGGCCTCAGATCCAATTCCGCTTCGTGGCGGCGTTGCCCAAGCACCGGGGCCCCGAGACGGGGGGTGGCGAACGGTGCGGAGGGGCGAGGAGAACGAAGGAGAAGAACAGGGCGAGTCCCGAGCTACATGACCCTTCATTGGTAGGCAAAAAGAAGCAGAAAAGCTCGCTTGATAGACTCCTAACATGCACACACACACAACACTGAGACTGATCTAGAATCTAGATAATGGAGAGATTTTCAGCAGCATTTCTTGGTTAACACATATCCGTTCTGTAGATTTTCTGCAGAGTACAGAGTACAGCGAGCTCTTTGGTCGTTTGCTGTTGTTCTTGACGTGGCACGCACATATACTTTTAATAAATCATTTTCTAGCACGACTTGGCTGGTTTATAGGTTTTGTGACTCAATACCTACAAGCGGATTCCAGGTTGGGAGGACTCGCTTCTGGTGACACTTTCGTGAAGCCGAGCTCCTGTCAATGAACGTTCGCAAACCGGTGCCACGGAAGGAGGGGATTTTCCGGTGCCACTCGTGTCGATATGAGCATCATGTGTGACAGCCAGTTCCAATCACAGCACTCTTCTCACGACGCACAATGAGTGCTCATGTGCGACCGGTCGGTATGAGGGTATGTATTGCCAGCTCATCGCCATTGTATGTCGAATCCAGCTCTGGAGAACAGCGCTCTGACCGCAAGCAATAATCTCATTCATCCATATACATGTAGAACCAATTCTTTCATCGTCTTGTGTGATGGTGACGGATATTTCAGTGCTACAGCCTAGTGGTGAAGTCCTGGTTCTTGAAGTCACACCAGAGATTACTGGCTGGATGCTCAAGCAGCAGATCAAGGAGAGAAAGCCTTGGGACCAGCTCACTCGCAGCACTACTGGTGTGGAGATCATTGTGGGAGACGACCAATTGCTGGCCAATGATGCAAAGGTATTGGACGCTGGAATTACTGAAGATACTGTTGTGAGAGTTGTCTTCAAACCAAATATAGCAATATGCTCCAACAAAGATGCGATCGCCAGTCTTGGTCGCATTGTTGACTCTGAACTGTTACTCGTGGTCGAAATTCCAAATGACGAAACACACATTCGCGCAAACGCTTTCACACGTTGCCACACATTAGTAAAGTTGACCATCCCAGACTCAGTGACCCACATTGGGAATAGTGCCTTTAAGGATTGCAGCTCCTTGCGAAACTTGACCATACCGGATCCCAGACTCAATGACCCACATTGGCACTAGGGCTTTTTGGGTTGCAGCTCCTTGGAAAACTTGGCTATCCCGAAGTCAGTGACCGACATTGGGCTTGGCGCCTTTCAATATTGCACCTCTTTGGTAAACTTGACCATCCCAGACTCAGTGACTCAGATTAGCACTGGTGCTTTTCAGTGGTGCACCTCCTTAGAAAACTTGACCATCCCGAACTCAGTGACGCACATTGGAAATGATGCTTTTGGGGGTTGCATGTCCTTGGTAAGCTTGACCATCCCGGACTCAGTGATGCATATTGGGAATGATGCTTTTTGCAGTTGCAGTTCTTTGGCAAACTTGGCCATTCCAAACTCAGTGACCCACATTGGCGTTGGTGCCTTTGAGCTTTGCAGCTCTTTGACAAACTTGACTATTGGGACCTCAGTGATCCATATTGGGAATGGTGCCTTTGGGAACTGCAGCTCTTTGGCGAACTTGACCATCCCAGACTCGGTGACCCACATCGGAGATCATGCCTTTCAGGATTGCCGCTCTTTGGCGAGCTTGACCATCCCAGACTCAGTGACACACATTGGGGATTGCGCCTTTAAGCATTGCAGTTCTTTGGCGAGCTTGACCATCCCGAACTCGGTGACGCACATTGGGAATGATGCCTTTGAGGGTTGCAGCGTACTTTTGGCGGACTGAGCCACGTGGGGCCAGATCTGAAACTCTGGCCGGAGAGCCGGATCGGCTGCACCACGGGACGGGAGTTCTGTGGAGTAGTGGGACACACCAGACTGGGCGTGGGACCAAAACATATTTGGCCATGTTTAGTATTGCTTCCTATCCGCCGGCAGACCATTTTTTGTTTGCTCGCCAAGATCGAAACAACCTCTTCGTTCCACCCCGCATGCAGCAGGCGCTACAACAACAAGGAACTGCCAGAGCTGGAGTTCTATCAGTTTCCTGGCTGGGCTTGGCAGCGAAGGACACGCATGTTTGTACATACAGTACATGTATAGTATATATAAAAAGTATATATATATATAATATTCAGTGGTAACATGTAAAGTTGTCTAAGTTTCTGAACTCCATGTTAGGTCACTGGGTTCCCCTGTGGAGACTTTTAAGCCCAGCAGAGGCGAACATGAGGCCCTAAAGAGTCACCTTCAGTGATTACTGAGGCGTCCTTTCCGGTGCAAAGGTATGTTGGCATATACATGCAACATGCATCTGCATTATTGTTCGACCTCTTGAACGTCTTTCATGATGAACCTGAGGTTACAGGACGCTCTGTAACAAAAAGAGCGTCGCTGCTTTTTTCGGATCTGCCCCCGTGAGACCCGGTTGCTCACCGCAACGCATGGCCTTCTAGCTTCTTGTTTCTAATAGCTTCTTGTTACTACTAGTAAGGCACCTGTTACTACTAGCGTGGCACTTGTTACTACTGGCTAAGAAGTCCTTTCATTTTGCTGGGCTTGCCCAAGTGAAGGGCAGCACTGCGTGAAACCTGGGAAGGCAGATGGCAGGTCCGTACCGAACTTGGAAGGCGAAGATCCGGGTGGGCCGGGGGGTGTCAACCTTTATTGGGCGACGGAAGATCTGGATCCCATCGTGAAACAGGAAAATCCGGGCCGACCTGTCCGTTCCTACCCTTTGACTGTCTTTGTTTTGACCTCGCGTGGACAGTGGATCCAAAGAGGGCCAGTCAACCACCGCCCCATCTGCCCTCTCTCGGCCGTGGCGTCTCGCCAGTTCCGAGGTTGAAAGCGACCTGGTATCCGGGTGCGGTGGGGGGGACCCAAGCGGCCAAGGGTCTTTGTGTGACTAGGTACCCCAAGTGGTGAGGTTCTGGGTTCTCTATTTGGATTTTTTTGTTTCTCTTCCCATCTATGTAATTGCAGCTTGTATACTTTGTTCTGATAAAACATGTACATGTAGAATTATATGTAAAGATGAATCGTGCATATGCATTGAACTGTTTTGGAGTTTCGGTTGGGGCCCACCAGTTTTGTAACCAAGATCTGCAGAATTCTTACTCTGCTGCTATGCGATTATGTTATTTCGTGCCTGATAAACGAAAGAAGAAGGCAAGATACCCAAGCCAGAACAAAGGCAAGCAAGCCACACAAGCAGGATCCGGAGGCATACTGTATATACCTGAACACCCGTGGTAAAAACATGCATGAACCTCCACATGAACCCCTCACACCGCTTCGCTCGTCTTGGTGCCCTTTAGGTGCCCTCCGCTCCGCTCCGGACTCGACGCGTGTCGGCTGAGGTGCGCTGGCAGCCCCTGACGGAATGTGATTTGAACCCCACGGCCGATGGATGTGCCCTGGACATCGGAATTTCATGGGCCGTGGATCGATAGGAAGTGTCGCAGCCAGCCACGGTTTTTTCTGAGGAAATGGTGTTGACCCAAAAGGCATGGTCTTTTTTGGGTTTGAACATGTTTGCTCTGATTTTTCTGTGTGGTATTTGGATTGGGTAGCTTAGTTTGGTGTTGAACAATGAGCAGGATTCTTGGCCTACTCAGGCTATGGTTATATGAAGTTATATAGTATGTCATTCCGGGTGCTTGGCATATGTTGGAATCCTGGAAGCCACAGTTGGGTTCTGAAGCCACCAACAAAAAGACTCTTCATAATCAGATGCTGTTCACATGAGAAAGCACCTGCAGAGACATGGCAGAGTCGAAGGAAACCTCGTGCATGGCAGTACTTGGAAAGCTCGTGCGTACTCCGTCGCTCCTTTCCCGACACCAGTCAGTCAGAGACATGGCAAAGTCAAAGGTCTCGAAGGCGATCGGCTTTTGTCTCTGCTTCTGGCAAAGATGCCAAGTTTTCCGCCTCCTTTGGCGGGAAAAGCCTCACTGCGCACCGCAGGTGCCGGAAGAACAGGTCCAAGAAATCACACCGAGCGGAAAGCACGTCTTGTCACCGGAGAAGCTGACATGGCCTCTGAAAACCGATTCAGAACTGCATGGCTGCATGGCCACAGTTTCTTTAGACTATCTATCAGTTCATCAGTGTCTTCAATTCATCAGTGGGTGAGGCTGACTCTTACTTGGGTGCTTCAGCTGCCGTTACGCTTCATCACAGGTGCTGAGCACCTCACGGGCAAAAAAATGACACATCGGGGCTGACGACGAAGATCCTCGTTGGAGCATCACTCGAGCTCATTGGCTACACCCATGGTGTTAGCTTCGGGGGGGGACCTTGGGTGCATGACGCAAGCCACAGGTTTTTGAGCAGGTTAGTAGGTTCATGTAGAGGTTGACATCCTCAAGCAGGCGCGTGCTGACAGGGTGCCAAGTGGTTAGTTTCCATCGCATCACGGATGGAATGTGAAGCCAACAGCTTTATGAACACACCCTTCATGCATCTTCATGCTAGCCGGGTCCTCAGCCAACAGCTTTATGGATCTGGACTTCGCTCGCTGACCGGTGGAGCGGAGTCCGGTCCGGCTAGACCAGCGGGGGGAGACGACAGGGTTCTTCAGGGTAGCGACAGAGGTTTATACCTGGAGAGGGATGGTCCACTCCCTATGTTGAGCTGCAGATAGGTTACGCAGAAGTCAAGTAGGCAGTGATGGGCTTTCACATGTTCTCACTGTAAAATGCTCCAGGTTGCAAAAGATCCGAGCAGGGGGCAAGATTTGCAGAGAGGATATGGTTCAAACTAGGGGTGTTTTAAGGCGTGAGAAGGCTTGGAGCAGAATTTCAGATGGTGAAACAAATGGCTCATTTTCTGTCAGTGACTACTTTGGCTATGACAAGAAGCCAGGGTATGTTGTAGCCAAGCACCTTAGGGCTCGTTGGATCTTGGGCTTTCTGGAGATACCCACCAACAGTGGAAGTGGATGTTCCCGGAAGACTTTCCTTTCGTTTCACACCCGGGCGTGATGTTTTGCAAGCCATGCTCGGACACGCGAGGCGATGCCATGCCATGAAAGCGAGGGTCGGTCAGATCTGCTGCCCTCTTTCCCCCTCCGGTCGATCCGGACGGTTGTGATGCGAAACGACGGTTGGATGCTCGGCCCCGGTCTCCTTGGAAACTCGGGGGGGAAACAGCACTGTTCAGCCGACTGAGGTGAGGAGGCCGAGCGCTTTTGCAAGGATTGCAAGAACAACCTCTCGGCGGATGGGAAGCCCCTCTTCTCCTGAGGCGTCGGGGGTCGGAGACAGAGATGTACCTAATAGCCTCTTGTTACTACTAGTAAGGCACTTGTTACTAGTAGCGATGCACTTGTTCCTAATAGCTTCTTGTTACTACTAGTAAGGCACCTGTTACTAGTAGCTTTCTCCGTTCCTTTCTCTTCGAGCTGGAAGATTCAAGACATGGTTGCCGGCTTGTTTGAGGCTCGGGATGACCCCGTGACATCGAGCTAGACCAGAAAACCCCCCTACGATCCCACGCCCAACAGGTCCTGCCTCAAAGAAACCCCCCGCATTCTTTCTGCCGAGGCGCCAAGGCAGACCACCGCCCTTTTTCGCGCCCCGGGGGCGAGCAAACGACTCCGAAGATGGCGCCCAAAAGCTTTGTGTTTTGCGGGCATGGCTGCGGGGGGGGGCGAGGTACGTAGGTGTTAGGTGTTTCGGAAGGACTTGCTGGTTCTACTTGGTCAGATGAGAGGACAAAGGGTTGGGTTAGAGAGTTGAACACTCACTTTGAGGCTAGAAAAGTGAAAGTGAAGGGAGGGACTGACCAGTTTGTAACAGATGTTGAGAGTGATGATGCACGGTTC